TGACTCCGCGTCCTCAGGTGCTTCTTTAATCATGAGCAACGTTAGAGCTGCTGGCTCGCAGAAATCATTCGCCAGGGTGGGCTGTGGATGGATGCTCTTCTGTTTTCAAGCTTCTGCTGAGGCCTCCGGGCATGCAGAGCATCCCACAGTGTGTTCTCTTAAGAGGAACCGGGTGTCGAAGGAGCATCGTGCTCCCAGGATAGACGGAAGCAGGACTCCTAAGAACGGAGCAGCAGCAGATGAGCAGGTGACCTTAGCATGCCCAGAACTTCTTTCTGGTTCCTTAACTCTCAATTTGTTGTCAAAGTGAAGTTCAGGGCTACTTATGCCAAAGGTAAATTGTTCTCAAAAGTTGTGACTTGGTTGCTTTTCAGCCTTGCCTGTTATTGCTCATTCTATTATCTTTTCTTCCAAATGAGTAAATCCTGGTTTTTAGCACCAAAAGTAACAATTCCACCTGTATATACTGAAGAAAGCAATACTGAAGAAAGCAATATTGCAAAGAAAATTAGCATTTGTGATACGAAGATGCACAAAAGAGCAGGGCTGTTGCTCAGCCACTCTGCCATAACAGCTGATGTATGGTTACAGATCTGTCTCCAGACTTTATATTTAGTAGAGCAGTTGTTCAGATGCCTCTCTCAGAAATGGCTGCTCTAATTAGGCAAGGTTCAGTATTACTTCCTTAACAAACGCTGCAATGAGTCCTATTGTCTGACTCAATTCTCTCTGGAGTACCATGTCTCCACAAAATTTGCTTCTCAAGACCCAGGATAGTATTCCTGGCTGTGGCATGAGGCACAGGATATGTTTCCAGCCATCCTGTACTTGTTTCCACCATTGTAAGCACATAGCACTTCCCCTGGCGGCTCTGAGGCAGTGTGATGTAGTCAATTTGCCAGGCCTCCCCAAACCTGTACTGTGACCACCTCCCCTCATACCACAAAGGTTTCAACCTTTTTGCCTGCTTAATTGCAGCACAAGTCTCACAGTCGTGGATCACCTGTGCAATAGTGTCCATGGTTAAGTCCACCCCTCGGTCACGAGCCCATTTGTATGTTGCATCTCTGCCCTGATGCCCTGAAGCATCATGGGCCCACCGAGCCAGAAAAAGCTCACCCTTGTGTTCCCAGTCTAAGTCTACTTGGAACACTTGAGCAGCCTCATCTGCTCGTTGGTTGTGTCGATGTTCCTCAGTGGCTCGACTCAGAGGCACGTGTGCATCCACACGATGCACTTTTACCTCCAGTTTCTCTATCCGAGCTGCAATGTCTTTCCACAGGTCAGCAACCCAAATAGGTTTACCCTTTCGCTGCCAGTTGTTCTGCTGCCACTGTTTTAGCCAACCCCACAAGGCATTTGCTGCCATCCATGGGTCAGTGTAGAGATAGTCTTCTTGGCCACCCCTCTCGCTCAGCAGTGTCCAAAGCCAGCTGGATGGCTTTTACCTCTGCAAACTGACTTGATTCACCTTCTCCTTCAGCTGCTTGTGCAACCAGTCATGTAGGACTCCACACGGCAGCTTTCCACTTCCGGTGGTTCCCTACAAGACGACAGGAGCCATCGGTGAAAAGAGCAAACTGTTTCTCAGTCTCTGGTAGGTGATCATATGGTGGAGCTTCTTG